TGAATACAGTCATGTTTTCATTTGTATTTGATCAAGTTGTAAAATATTTCCATTGATCGTAATTTGCTTTGGAACTTTGATAAGGAGTCTAAACTCACTTTCAATGAGAAAAAGCTAATTACTACATGTTACAACATTTAGACTCTGTTCCCTTTCTACAGTTAATGCCACCGTAAAACAGGTGCAGCTAATACCAAATACTAGAGAGCAGTTATCCCCATTTCCTCAGGAGGCGTAGCCTTTTGCCAGTCTTCCTTTAAATGACAAGTTCCTCTTAATAATGTTACACTGGGTCACTGCACCATCTTGTGGTATGCATTGGTATTACACCCAGCTCTACTTCAACATGAGTCCTGAGACCCAGACGATTCATTTTGTCCTCTGTAGTGGACAAAGTGAGTTCAACTGAAAGATGCTTGTTTTCCTCAGTATTCAGGAGGATGACAGACACAGTTTTTTCCTGAAATTCTGTTTTTGGTTTAGTCCATTCTGGAAAGTTATAACAACTTTTAAACACACGGATGTACACGCCTGCTTGACTGTGACAACCTGAATGCTTTTGGTGTTAAGATTAAAAATACATGCAAAAAACTGGATGTCTAGCTGTACATTACATCCTCCATCCACCAGAAACATTCAGGTAGTTACGCTTAGCTTATTCCCAGCCACCTCACCTGGAGCAGGCAGCTGGGTAGGGGAGGTCTGGCCATCTCTACTTGGATTAGTGTATCTGCGACACAGAGATGGATAAGTGACAGAAAATTAATGGATGTATGGAGCTTATAAAAAGTACATACAAGCTGCTTTTAGCAGATTTGACTGGTGACTTTATACAGATGTTTATACAGATGTTTCAAGATGTCTGCCAAGTGGAGCTTCAAGAAGGACTTTGATAATATCTGCTTCTCCTTCCTTTTCAGGCATGCCGTGGTACAAACCTGGATGAGGGAGTCATTGAGACCGACAGTGTAGGAGACGAGCAGACGTCTGAGAAGATTCCTGTGGAGGCCGACTTCTTATACGCCTATTCCACCGCTCCAGGTACAAACAGTGTTTTCTGTTATCTTAATAGGCTACATCACATTTTGGCTAAAGGGTGGACTCACATGGAGGCCAGTGGGAAAAGGTGAGCTTTATTTGAACTGATGGTAAAGTCCATAAAAAAGACCAAAAAAAGTGCAAATAATACTTAATCTCCAAAAAATTAAAAGATAAGAAATGACAGGTAAAAAATAGACACTTTGGTAAAGAACACAGGAGAGACAGGGATTTACACGCTTACTGCGATAAGATCAATGCTTTAAGCTCAGGATGTAGCCCACATACAGAAATGGGACATTAAAATATATGCCTCAAACATGTGGGAGAAAAAAAGGGGGAAACTATTAGGATAATGACACAGGAGATGTCAAACTAAATGCAAAACACAGGAGACAATGACTACCAAAATAAGAGAGGAAATGAAAAAAAGCCATTGAAACAGGGAGACGTGGATACAAGAACGTTATGGGATGAATAACAATAAAAGAACAAACTCTAACTAAGAAGAAAAGAGGAACAGGATACTAATGAAAAAAAACCCAATGAAACCAGACAGAAACAATACCAAGAACCAGACGACCTGAAGAGAGAATGGAAATAAAACCCCAAAAATTAAACACAACTCTGAAAACTCTGAGTTCAGAAACAGACAGACGTGCCAAATATAGACAATTTTAACTTGAAAAGGCAACTGATGCAGGACAGAAGAGTGTCGTGATCTATGACATAAATCATCATCAATTTAACATTTCTGGACACACTTTAGTGACCACAAAACCTCTGTGATTTTTTTACAATAACTAGTTTAGCTTTTCGTGGATTTTGACTCTGGAATATCTGTTTTTAATTTGTTTTATGAATAAAATACAACTCTTCATTATACTCAGACATCTTTCATGGTTCATTCTTGAGGTATATTTTTTTCTGCTCCAGTACCATCATTTAGCTAACTGATTTGACTGGGCTGGATATATAATTAAATGTCTTAATACAGCCTTTAGGTGATCAGTCGTCTAAAGTAACAGCTAAGATGGCTGTGGCAAGGACCACACACACACACACACACACACACATACACACACACAGCTTTGTCAGTTTATTCGGTTTATTGTCTATGGCAGTAGATTCTGTTGTTTTGGTGCTCTGCATGCTGGAAACGGTCACTCCAAGGCTGCTGCCACACACACGTTTTTCTGCTCTACTGTCACTGAAAAAGAACTGAGCCAGCACACCTGTGTTTCAACCACGCCTCCCTGTGAGCTCACTGTGTCATGTCATCCCTCCCCTGCAGCAGGCCACAGGCCACACCTCTGCCACAATGACTAACAACCGTAACATACGTCTAAAAATGTGTTGCTTTCTCACTCACTGCAACCTACATGGCTCTGCTTGATGCTTCTGAGTCACATGACTGCATGAGATTGGAATGCAGTAGAGCAGGGAGGAGGGGGCGGAGCAAAGTGTGCCTGCATGAGAGGAGCATTGCTTCCACACGTCTCCTTTCTGATGAATGGGAGCAACGTACAGGGGACAAACAAACTAAAGCATCGAGCGTATCGGGCTAGTATTGATCCAATACCAGCCCCGGTATCAGTTCTATCGATATTTTACTGCATAAAATGATATTAAATTAAATTGAGTACCATCGTAGTAATAATAAACACATAGCTGAACTAAACAGATGCCCTCCCATAGATCAGTGTTTTGTCTCAGTCACCAGTCCAGCTACTATTAGTGTCAGGATTGTGTATTATAGTGAACGATCGCGTCCTCGTTGTTGTGTTTTCTAAGAGCGCTAACACTGTCACTCATCCTGCAGGATACTACTCATGGAGAAACACAACCTACGGCTCCTGGTTCATACTGACGTTGTGTGAGATGTTGGAGCGCTACAGTGGGAAGCTGGATCTGATGCAGATCATGACGCGAGTCAACTACGGTGTTTCACGCTACTTCGAGTCCTCCAGCAACCTGCCTGGATTTGGTTGCAATAAGCAGATCCCCTGTATCGTCTCTATGCTGACCAAAGACTTTTACTTCCCCGTCTAGATTTACATGGTTGAACCTCAATCATCTTTGTTCTCCTTGACCAAATGCAAAGTCTGGTGCTGTGCTGCAGCTGATGCAAAGCAGGATGACAGTGATTTAAATGTGACTAAACCCATTTGCACAATTGGCACTTAGATTAGTAATACTTTTATTGATTTTAGTGTTGGATCACACAAAATATATTTTGTGTGTTTATGTATGTTTGTATTAAAGTGAAAAAAAAAAACCCTTAACAGTGTTGCAACAGTTTCCATCTGTATTTTCTGGGCGCTCTGCACTTTTTCACTGTCTGTCGTAGGTTTATGTTTTGTCGGCCTAACAATGGCATATTTTTGGACCTCATATTGAGAGTTCCAGTGAACATCTACCAAACTCAGGTTCAACACTTTGAATCATCAGTTCTTTCTGAGCCTTTGAAAATGGGAGGTTATGTGTAAAACATTTAATTCAATACATGTGTTAAAATCCTCGAATTGAAGCTGAAGGTTCGCACTTCAGTCACATCTTCTTTGTTTGACTTAAAGTCCACTCTGGTGGCGTGCAGAAGCAGCAGTCCACACACTCATAGAGCTGACCATATGACAGGCCAGATGTTTTGTATTTTGAACCAACTGTGTGAACATGCAGCCACTAGAGGAGGCCAGAGAAACAACTAACGTGGTTCTCAGAGGCCTTTAATGACTCAGCAGGTTTCAGGAACTGAAACTGTGGCCCAGTTTAACCCTTGATGCACCGACCATGTGGAAGTGCTAATTTGAAAACGAGAAAAGAAATAAGACTTTCTGTTTAGACAGTTGTCAGCTTCTTCTTCTTCTTTTTCTAATTCTTCCGTTTTTCTTTTTAACCATCTGTATTCTGCGTAGAAGGCAGCTTCTGTCCAGGGCCCACTGCTGTGAAATACAAACTCCTTGGATACGTTTGTCAGACCCCTCCCCGGGCTCAGCTGTGTGTGTCACAGAGATAACCCTGACCCCGTGGAGAGCTGGCACACACTTTCCATTTGTTGAGGATCGAGTGTGGAGGTTGGAGCTTCTCAGACATCACATTTTCCATTCCCAGATTTTGACAAAGCTGTTTTCTCTTTACTGTAAACAGAAACAGTGTGCTGAGTGACTCACCGGCAGCACAAATAACACCAAATGTAACAATCATAAATGAATGGGAAAATTCAGTACATGTGAGTGTGCCAGTGGAAGCCTTATCTTCAGAGTTTCCATTAAAAACAGATACATGTCATGCATACATGCTGCTGTGTTGGGAATCTGTCGATCTGCTGCTAGCTTGCAGACATTTTCATGTGAAACTGCACAGCTCAGTTTCGATTCTTCTTTTGAAAGAATGAACGGAATCACTGCGTGCACTACTCTAAACTGCAGCTTGACTCTGGGCCACAGCTACACACTTAGAGGAGAAACATTGCAAACGTGTCCTTTCCACACAACGGCAGGTGTGCTGCTGCCAACCCCTTAAACACACACACAGTTGTGAGAAGTTTCTAGTTTCGTTTCCAGTTGCAGTGGCGGAGAAAGAAGAGGAGCTGTGGGGGCGACGGAGGGAGAGAGACACAGAGGAAGTGAAAATGAAATTCAGCTCAAAGATCGTCTATGTCCTAAGAATAAACGATTTCGGGGGGAGTCATTTCCGCCGTGTTTCACCTGCTTTCACATTTAAACACGTATTTGCTACAGTTAGCTAGGACATGTATTCAGGTACTAGTCACTGAGCTATGTATATATATCCCAGTCGTGCAGTGATTTAATGTTGGTGTTTTGCAGTGGCGTGGCAAGGAGAATGGTAAAAAAAAAAAAAAGATAATTTAAAAAACCCAAAACACAACGGAGTGAGCCATCTTCGCTTCGACGTGTGCGAGCGCACGCGAGACTTCACGGCGCTCGAGACCGACCCAAAGCGAGAGCACGAGAGCAGGAGGGGGATTTCCAGCTCTGGCCCCCACTTCCCGAAGCGGCCGTTGTTTTGCTTTCGGTCTGAATGCAGAAACAGAAATAAACGACGACCACACTTTCCCTTTTCCACTTAAAACCTCGAACACGTTAACCTGTCCGGCTTTGGCTGCTCTTCTTATTCCGACAGCGGGACTGTGGAGCCCGAGGCCGTCCAAACCTAACAGGTAACATCTTATTTCCGCATATTAACGTCGCTGCCTTGAGCTCCCCTGGCCACACTGACTTCCTACAGGGCGACATGACGGATCCCTAGCTCAAGTGAAAGTAGTTCTGCAGTTTGTCTCCGCGTTTCATGACTCGGTATGGGATTTATTTTCACTTTTGACTTCGTTGTTTTGGGTCAGCTCGGTGGCAGGCGGTAGACACACAGGGCGCGATAAACTTCTGACTTGACCCCCGCTGCTGAAGCAGACTCGACTCCAGAACAAACACGTTACTAACGTTGGAAAGTCAGCGCTGATGTGGCGGTTTACCTGGAATTGTTAATATTTGCTAGCATCCTCCCGCTATAATGTAGACTCTTTGAAGTGCACAGTGTTTATCTGTTTGTAACCGTGTGTATTTACCGTGTTATAATGTGAGTAGCAGCGGGACTGAGCCGTGAACAGTATTCAGGTCTTAGTGCGTGTCATTTACACTGAAAATACTAGTGTTATATTGTCTGAACTCCGTGACAGGTAACTTACCATGTTTAGCAGTATAAAAATAAATGTGCTATACACTGAAGAAATAATAATAGTAATACTATTAATAATTTAAAAAGTAGTATTGATGCTATAATATTGAATGTTATATTTTTAAATGTACAGTTGGACTATATTTGAGTGTAGACACCGTTATGTACACAGTGTAAATACATATTTCAACTTTTCTTGATCCAATTTTTCCGCATTATTAGCAGCAAATGTTCCTCATTGTGAAATTAGTAAAAAAAAAAAAACTGAAGAAAGCACACATAGTGCCACGCACTGTGATGACATGTTGGTCAGAAATCAGTATAGTTTGCGTCAACGGTTTAACCGCATTCATTTAACCCTAAAGTCCCGCTGTGATGATTCCCCCTTCAACCTATTAAACATCTGCTTATTGAAATGTATTCACACATGTGCTGTTCTCTCAGAGGTCTGTCTCTCTGAAAAACGGAGCGGAAATATGACATAGTGCTGAGTTAAGTGAATTTGGCGAATGCGTTAAAATAGATCTCGGTCTTTTTTTTCCCCCTTCAATTGTCTTTCTGTTAGAAAACGTCTTCTGTCAGCGTCAGATACTCTGAAATAAAACTGTAAGTTTTTACAAGTATATCTGTAGTTAAACTGCATGTCTGTGAATGATGAAAATATTAATATCCACAGACGTAATTTAAGAACAAACAGATGCTCGTATTTGTGAATGTGAGCGTGCTACTTTTAACGTGTGAAGCAAGCTGCGGTCAGAACTTGGGTGATAAATGAGGATGAAGAGATACCTGGGTCGTTTTTACTATATATTAACTAATGAGCAGTCTTATCCGTGAATAAATAAATCAATTTCCTGTCCCGAGTCACTCGTGTGACTGTAAGTAACCTGTGTGAATGATGTCTAACTGATGCTTTGTGTCATGTAGTCTGTTGGGAACACCTGAGACGGCTGTCTGTCTTTGCAAGACCAGCAAAGTCTGCTTTTGAAGCACACAGCACATTTTGTTTGCACAGTGATCGGTGCAGCGCCCCCTGTTGCATCTGAGGTGCATACTTGGATCTGCTTGTAGGAGCGTTTGCCCTGCACCTGATGGCAGCCTGACTGGGTTGTTAACAGTGAGCAAGTCAAAGATGCTTCAGGTGTGCAAACCACTGAGAGCTTAGTGCGCTGATAGGACTTTAAAGGTGAAATATCAGTTTGTGTTTGCTGAAGTCATTTGCGTTGAGATTTGGTGACACAAAGCCGTCTCTTATTGATATTTGCGTGGGTTGTTTAGTTTTCCTTTTTGGGCACTAGGGGCTGTGTTGAAGTGGGACGTGGGCCCTGTGTTTTTCCCATGTGTGCCATTTGTGCTGCACTCCTTGTATCTTTTTCAGCTTGTGTTTTCTGTAGTGATATTGTGAGCTTTCACTGAGCAGACGCAGCTGAAAGGCTCAACCTTGTTTGATATTTTGGATTTGATGCTGCGCTGTTTCACCTTGTTTAACCTGTTGGGGAAGCACTGCGCTGGCAGGGAGTGTCAGCCTGACTGGACTTTGATCAGGTTTGTGTGCAGAGATCATCACTCTGCCCTTAAATCAAATGTAGCGACATGGGTGGGCTAAAGTTTTCTGGGACGGTTATGAGCTCTGTGTTCATTTTTTCCTCTTGGTCCATTGTTGTTTTATTTCAGGTGTCGTTCTCTGGAACAAACAGTGTGAGGCTGAGTGTAGAGCTACAAACATGAGCTGACATTTTTATTTATGAACCGTGTTTTATGGCTGCTGTTCTTTGCGAACACACTAAAGAGCCTGGCCAAGAGTTTTATCTTTGCAAGTACACACAGATCTGATTCAACTGTGTTCCACACCTCACTCTGAAATGATGACTATGAATGGGGAAAAAACCTCAGTGGGGGGCTGCTATGCTCATTTCCAGCTCTACTTGAGTAGCTCTGGGTGATTCATGGTTCAGAATCGTTCTTGTTTGTCGTTGGCTTGGTGCAGCTGCTCCGTTCATCCTGTGTGAAACGAGATTTTTTAAGTGTTCTTGGCACAGTGAGCATCACGGCAGAATACGTATTACAGCATTTCTGTTATTTTAAAGTTGCTACAATATGCTATAATGTGTAAAAAAAACCATCTTTGAATCCCAGTATCCATACCAGTGCTCCCACATTCATAATAACGTATCTGTGTGTGTGACTTCACAGACCGCAATGCCAGTAGAACGAATGAGGATGAGACCCTGGTTACAGGAACAAATCGAATCCTGTCAGATTCCAGGGCTGATATGGCTTAACAAAGTGAGTGTTGTCACGCACGCACGCACGC